TTTTTTATTTATACGTCCCTTTGGTTGAATTTTATAGAAGTTGTTTCCATATAAACCTGCTGGCCTCTTTCTCCTGAGTGCTACCAAGGAAGCTCCATCAGTTCTCACACAACTAAGAACTGGGATGCTGCTGGATAAAAATATATCCTGTAATGTTTAAGTTAAAGGCTTGCTGCCTCCTGGGACTTTAGGTGTCTTCTGATATTTATCTGCTTCGTATATATTGGTTACATTTCTGAGAATTCTTTTTAAGTAATAATTTAAATGTATTGATCTCACATTGGAGAAATTAACTTTTGCTCAGGGACCCAGAGTGGCAGTCTGAGAACCTCTGGATTCCAAGCATAATGCCCTAACCACTAGAACACCACTCCCAACCAATCAGACAAAATCTCTCTTTTTTTAAAGCTCTACTATCATTCTAATGCCTTATAGTTGCATTAAGAGCTTTGTGTTTTTTGGGCTTTTGACAATTAAAACCTTCAGCATGGACCGCTGATATAACACACATCTTGGACAGGAATATAAAAGTTCAATTTTTTCTTTTTAAAGCTACAGTGTGTAATAATTACAGGGATATACAGTCAGAAATGTAGTATATTATACATAACTATGTTATTTATCATCATCTACGAGCTCGGCCTCTTAACCTTAATATTTGAGTTGCCTTAGAATTCGTTATTTATAATTACATAGGAGCGGGTCTCGCAGCCATGGAGGCAGACATCGTTGCGCTACGGCAGCGCAGAGCCAACAAACTAGCGATTGCGAGATCGCAAAAACGTCACAACGATGTAGAAAAAATAACGGGTATATTTATTATCTTAAGCCTACATGAAATCTATACCCTACACAGACTAATGAAATACTATCTGTAAAATTATCTATGTAAACAAACCTCATCACTTGAGAAGGTAGGTGATGCGGACGTCGTGGAAGACATTTTGTCCCGTAACGCTCGCCGTACTGTTGGGGGGGAGAAGCGGTGGGGGGGAGACGTTCATGTTGTTGCAGTCTGCAGTGTGACAGCTAGATGTTGCTAAAAGTTACACACTGTAGCTTTAAGAGATTTTCTCTAATCCACTCAGGGTTAGAATTATACATTCAGTTTTAAACATATATACAAATGAATGTAGTTTAAACTCCATTAGAAAGTTTCAGATTATCCAGATGTTATTAAAATTGGTTGGTTTTACGATTTTGGATGGTTTTAATCACAGTCAATCCATTTTTGGTTTAGTTTCACTCAAGGCTTTCAAGATGCCTTTGTTTTCGGTTCATTCTAGGCCTGCAACTAACGATTATTTTGCAAATCGATTGAACTGTCGATTATTTTTTCGATTAATCGATTCATATTCAGATAGCCAAAGGCTCCTTAAAAAATATATTTTTTAACAAAATTAAACCAGGTGAAACTTAAAATTTTTCTGGATATAACATATTGACACACCAGAAAGATTTTTCACCTTAAATGCAAATTTGTTTTAATTTTTTTTTTTTACAATTTTGGTATAATTACTGCTCTAAGTGGGTCACTCTGTCAGCTAAAGGCATGTTTTAAAGTCTCTGCACTCGAAGCTAACTATTATTCGATTATTAAATTAGTTGACGGTTATTTCAATAATTGATTAATCACGATTGATCAGATTAGTTGTTTCCTCTTTAGTTCATTCATCTTTAGCAAGTTTCAATTTAGCTGTTGTGAAGGTGAAGATTTTCCCCAATGGCAACAAAACAGCCCCATAGCATGATACTACCAACACCATGCTTGACAGTGGTGCAGTACTTTCCTCTTAGGGTTGAAACACACACCTTGATTCCACCAAACATTCTGTTTGTGTTTGAGTTTAGGGAGCACTGATCTTGTCTGACCATAAAACCTTTTTTCTAGATGGCAGTTGGTTTGTCTGTGATGGCAGCTGCAAATTTTGACAAGACTTGAAGGTGTTAGACATGAAATAGGGGTGTCTTTTTTTGCTTGCACCCTCTCAGTATACACTATATTGCCAAAAGTATTTGCTCACCTGCCTTGACTCACATATGAGCTTAAGTGACATCCCGTTCCTAATCCATAGGGTTCAATATGACGTCGGTCCACCCTTTGCAGCTAGAACAGCTTCAACTCTTCTGGGAAGGCTGTCCACAAGGTTTAGGAGTGTGTTTATGGGAATTTTTGACCATTCTTCCAGAAGCGCATTTGTGAGGTCGCACACTGATGTTGGACGAGAAGGCCTGGCTCTCAGTCTCCGCTCTAATTCATCCCAAAGGTGTTCTATCGGGTTGAGGTCAGGACTCTGTGCAGGCCAGTCAAGTTCATCCACACCAGACTCTGTCATCCATGTCTTTATGGACCTTGCTTTGTGCACTGGTGCACAGTCATGTTGGAAGAGGAAGGGGCCAGCTCCAAACTGTTCCCACAAAGTTGGGAGCATGGAATTGTCCAAAATGTCTTGGTATGCTGAAGCATTCAGAGTTCCTTTCACTGGAACTAAGGGGCCAAGCCCAGCTCCTGAAAAACAACTCCACACCATAATCCCCCCTCCACCAAACTTTACACTTGGCACAATGCAGTCAGACAAGTACCGTTCTCCTGGCAACCGCCAAACCCAGACCCGTCCATCAGATTGCCAGATGGAGAAGCGCGATTCGTCACTCCAGAGAACGCGTCTCCACTGCTCTAGAGTCCAGTGGCGGCGTGCTTTACACCACCGCATCCGACGCTTTGCATTGCACTTGGTGATGTATGGCTTGGATGCAGCTGCTCGACCATGGAAACCCATTCCATGAAGCTCTCTGCGCACTGTTCTTGAGCTAATCTGAAGGCCACATGAAGTTTGGAGGTCTGTAGTGATTGACTCTGCAGAAAGTTGGCGACCTCTTCGCACTATGCGCGTCAGCATCCGCTGACCCCGCTCCGTCAGTTTACGTGGCCTACCACTTCGTGGCTGAGTTGCTGTCGTTCCCAAACACTTCCATTTTCTTATAATACAGCTGACAGTTGACTGTGGAATATTTAGGAGCGAGGAAATTTCACGACTGGATTTGTTGCACAGGTGGCATCCTATCAAAGTTCCACGCTGGAATTCACTGAGCTCCTGAGAGCGACCCATTCTTTCACAAATGTTTGTAAAAACAGTCTGCATGCCTAGGTGCTTGAATTTATACACCTGTGGCCATGGAAGTGATTGGAACACCTGATTCCAATAATTTGGATGGGTGAGCAAATACTTTTGGCAATATAGTGTATGTTGCTGCTAATCAAACTGGTGTTCCAACTTTCTCCTGTTCATAATGGGGAGAAAAGCTCTAAATTAAACAGGAAGAAAAAATCCCCTGCCATGACTGATTTGGGGTTTTTCATAAATATTGTTCATCTACTACTTGATGTGGATGTGGAACTTAAATATGTTATAATAATGCATTGATAGCTTGGATACCTCTTGTTTTTTGTATCTTTTATCCAGACATATTTTATAATATTTAGAAGTTATTAGTCTGTTAAATATGAAGCCATCACTTGTGATCACACCCTTAGATATGGCCTGAAGATGAACTTGTAGAGAGTCAACTGACTGTTGATCTACTGTGAAAAATATGTATTTCATGGGAGAGGAGGAAAGATTTCGCTACCTAATTCCAATCTTAGCCAATTTATTTTCTATATATAGACTTTTGGTGTGTTGCTATCAACACTTGTAAGTTTAATTTCAATTTTGGGTCCAACTTCTGAATAGACTTAAAGGTATTCTGGAGGATTTTCACAAATTTTTAAGTCCCGCCCTCTCCACTTGAAAAGAAATGTGCGTGCGAGAGCGTGAACAAGTCCTCGTGCACGCTCTGTTTAAAAGTTATTGTTCTCATAGCTCATACAAGCTTACTGTGTTCAAACATCCCCCCTAATCCCTCAATCACTATATAGAGCGGGGACTTTATAGAGGACATTATAGCAAACTCAGTTTGCTGACCGTTTAAACAGATGATCACTGCTTTTTGCTCCGATGGTCACATAACTCCTCCACTGCACGGTTTCTGCCATCTTTGTTATGAGTCGGGCCGCTGTGACAGCAGGTCCAATAATGCTTTTACGAGTATAGCTCTCCCGCAAAGCATTCTGGGATATATCTGCCTCTTCTGAGGCCTTTCTTTTCTTCTCATAAACTTCATAGACACTTTTTCTCTTACGACCCTCGGCCATTTTCAAAAAACCGCTGTGAGAAGGTAAGCTTCAATGACTGTCTGAAACCGTAGCTCATCACAGATATACGCCTGAAAGCATGCATGCACAGAAAAAAATAGCTAACGGTTCAAGCATGTAGGACGGCCTTATGTAAACATATCACCAGAATGATTGACAATTAAGAGGACCACTTATTTAGACGATCCACCTGGAAATAAAAGATCCTCCTCCATACCTTTAATGTAGCTTTTAATCATGCAATGTAACCTTCTTTGCAATGCTTATCGTAGCAGAACCCTTTATAACTAAAAAAGAGAGATAGATAAATGTAATTTTAGAGATGATCAATACTGAATTTGGATTTTGTTTTTTTCTTGTTCAGATATAAATCAAATATATGTTTATTAAAACTATAACCTTGTGGGTGAAATAACTGCCCACCCCACCTCTGAAAAAAACCCAAAGACAAACATTAAAGCATTAATTTTATGCACAAAATTTTTAAATTCTGTTTCAAGTCTAAATTAGCAGTTCATGCGACTTCAAATCTGTGGATCTGTGGACATATTTTCTTAGACGCCTAACTGAGATGGTTATGAACAATATATATGCTGAGTTTTATATTACATAAAGTCATTTGGATCGCATAAAAAATTATAAAGGATACATTAAATGCTTAAGTTAAATGTTTGTAAGTTCTTGCTGTGTTTGCAACAGCAAACACTGATATTTTACTGATTTCTTTTTCTTTCAGGGCGTCTAAATCTGACCCCCCTCCCTCGTTCTTCCCACCATAAAACACCTGACAGAAGCTGAGACTGTATAGTTCAGAGGCTCTGGATAAGCCTCATGTTTTATTTGCAGAAAGCGGCCCCATTGTCCCATAAGTCACCTCACACAGCACTCTTCTGCTTCACGCCACACTGAGCCTGTCCTCCTGCGTTAACGTCACCCGCTGCTAAAGCACTTAGCTTGTGTTCTCCGTGTCCTCTGTGGTCCAGCCAAACATCCATTTGGGGGTCCTAGGAAACTTTGAAGCTTTTTCACCCTCACTGAGCGAGGGAGGTGCGGGGCGTCTTCGTGACGTTTTGTGAATACTTTGTCCAATAAATAGCCATCTTCATGAATACATTAAAGCTCATGAAAATCCACAAACACATCCTCGACCATTAGCCTGAATCCATGAAAGCTGGATTGGTTACAGCGAGGGATCTTTCAAAAAGGATTTAGCCCCATAATTGTCTGCAGCTCTCTGTTAGACAGGGATAACACCATTTAGCCATTTAGTTGAAGCTTTGTGTTTGTCCTCTTTGCTAACATGTGTCAGACATTGGAACACCTGTGTTTGCCTGAAAGGAGAGAAGCAGTTTCTTGAAATCAATTTCCTTACATACAGGAAAATGAATTGAACATGATTGTAAAAAGTATGAATAAAATATTTTTTAATTTGTTGATACTATAATTAATTTTATTAATATTTTTCATTATTAATATTTCAAAATATTTGTCAGAGAAATACAATAAAAACTAAATCTTTGCTACTTTATTATCACTAGGCTGAAATAAATTGGCATTTAAAACCAAACAAAAATGCATTCAATAAGATTAACATTTGGTGTGTAAATGTATTTTTCTTACAGGTTGGGATCTTAAGTTACATCACAAGGAGATAATTGTTTTTTAATGTGATTACAAGGAAACATACGCTATGGTGTTATGTACAGGATACTTTCTATGTATACAAAGATTATTTTAATATATATTTCAAATGAAGATAAGCCTTGTGGTTTAGGCATAAAATGTCACATTGTCTTTTTTGTATGATGATAACAAAATGTTTATCAGCCGTTAAAATGTAATACAGGCAATAAGTCAAATTATTTAATCAGAAGCTAAATCTCTGTTTGAATTACTTGTAGAATTAGGTGCTGTGGAAAATCAAAGTAGAAGATTACAATTTCCTATGAAAAAGGCTAAGAAAGTTCATAATTTTGTTATTTGGTTTTAACCATGGCAACAGAGGATATTGTATGCATGGAAGAGGACAAAAGTTAAATTTACCTGCTTTGTTGTTGTATTTACTGCGTTTATAGGCAGTATTGGCCATTGCCCATTATTTTAGTATTTTTTTATATCACTGGATCCTGCTGAACACTGGTGTAAAAGAATACATCTTTTTTCTCTGTTCTCAGTTGGTAACAAGTATTACCGTTTGCTCCTTCGAATTTTGACAGACTCATTAGTGGACCAGTCCGTGTGCAGCACCTATTCCACCTGCAATAGGAGCAGAAAATGACAAGTTGTAGTAGTAAATACATTTTGCATGCAGTTTTGTTTATTCTGGTTTTATTAATTTTTGTTTTTGTTGTTTTCCAGAAAATATTATATACCATAAAAGTAGAAGTAACCCTCAGAGAACGCAAATAATGTAAATCCCTTTATTGTCCCAGAATGGGGAAATTTACTCTGAATTTAACCCATCCCCTTGGGAAGCAGTGGGCTGCCATTGTGCGGTACCCGGGGAGCAGTGTGGGGTTAAGGGGCTTGCTCAGGGACCTTTTGCTAAAACCTTTTTAATGGAAATATTTCTAGCATGTTCTCACTGTTGGTTTTGGAAAATGCTAATATACCATGGGTCAATATTAGCCGTCACAAAAGAAGCTACTATGAGACCATATGATCAGCTCCAAATATTTACGGAACAGAAAGATAAAAAAAAAAAGAATTAAAACGGCATCTATACTTTTCTTCCTTCATTTGCAATTGCATTCCAAATTAATTAAAAATCTCTCATTTTTTCATTGCAACAGTGATATGGGATGTAGGAATTGCCCTGCAACCAGAGGGTTGTCGATTGAAGCCCCGGCTCTGTGTTTCAGTGTCGTAGTGTCCTTGGGCAAGACACTCCACCCACATTGCATACTTGTGGTGGTCAGAGGCCCCGGTGGCGCCATTGTATGGTGTTCTGTCAGATGAGCATACCCCATCAGACCAGCATATCCATAGTCAATCCCCGTTTATTCCTTTAGTTTATCCCTTTTTAATTTTGTACAAAAACGACCTCAATGGGCATGTATCACTTTAGTCATGTACAAAAAAATACAATTTAATAACATGACTAAAGGGATACATGGCCGTTGAGGTACTTTAAAGTCTATTTTTAGTACAAAACTAGTGATAAATGCAACTCTGACGTCTTGCACAGGCTTATTGACTATAGATATATCATCAGACAGAACACCGGCAGCTTCACTTCTGTCAGGGGGCCCCAGGGCAGCTGTAGCTACAGTGTAACTTGCCACCATCAGTGTATGAATGGGTGAATATAGTGTACAGCACTTTGGCCAAGTGTCCTGGCTTGACCAAAGCAGTATATAAGTACAGGCCCTTTACCATTTACGAAAACTGTCTTAAAAACATTTTTCGTAAATGGACAGAAATCCCCACACTGGAAAACTGGAAAACATTTAATGTTTTATACTGTCAGAATATTTTTGTATGCACACTTTACTTTGACACTTTTTAATAACATTTTTACATCTTTTAAATTAATGCTTATATACAACTGAAAAAAAGAGACTACAGAGTGCAAAATGACAGGCATGAACACAGAAAATCCCTCCACCTATTTATCTTGATTATTCAACAGGATCATGATGGGGCAGCAGTCGATGGGCAAAAGGCATGTTACACCACTCTGTTTCAGGGCAACACATAGACAACCATGAACACTGACATATAAGGAGGATTTAGAGAAGCCAGTTAATCTAACAGTCATGTTTTTGGACTGTCGGTGGAACACTGGGTGAGAACCCATGCAAGCACAGGGGGAACATGCAAAAGACCCGGGGCTGGGAGTTAAACCTAGGAACTTCTTGCTGTAAGGCAACAGTGCTGCAAACAGAACACAGAACCTTATGTTTGGTATTTTTGGTTTTTTCTTTTTTTTTATTTCAAGTAAAGCCCAATTTCTATTTGAGCTTTTGGATTCACAACCCTTGATGGCTGCTTCTGGTCCAGAAGTTTAGATCTGTTAACAGAAATTTAGTCAGAGTTCTCCATTCATTGCAGTAAAAAAAGACCTATGATGGGTTAACTTTAATGATATGCAAAGAAAAAATTGTTTAAACACCCCAGTTCGTGGCTCCATCTCACCAGGATTTCTGAACTATTTAGCATTTTAACAATGACAAAGGAATCTGTGCCAGCTGTGACTGTTTTATTTGTTGTTTCACACAAAGGAGAAATCAAAACTATGGGCTAAAAAATTTTCCCAGGGGTCTGCCAACTACAGAGGCTGGTTGTACTTTGTAGGTCTGACATGTTTTTATGTCAGACCCCCCCTCCCTCGAAGGCACTCACTGTTTTTCTCAGAAGCCGTATTTCAGAACATGGAGAACCATCGAGAGATCTGTGTTGAATAAACTTCACTCCAAAGACACAGAAAAAGGCTAAGTTCAAGCATTCCTTGCCAGAGGAAACTCTGAAAGAGACCCACTGGGACCGTTTAAATAGCAATTTTCTCATGTAGGCAAACCCAGTCCAGAGAGATTTTCTTTAACATTGGAAGAATGTGCAACCCCCCCTGTCTGAAACAGCAAAATCCAGAGGTAGAGATATGTAAAAGAAACTTGAGAAGGGTCAAGATTTAGAGCCACCGTGTAATATTCACAAAATGCAGTAGGTTCATGGAGAATAAACAGTTTCGTAACATCCTCCCTGAGAAGTGAGGCCCTAACTTCCTGTTTGTGTACGCAATATAGAACATGGAGGGTTTTGCTATTTAAACCAAAGGGCAGCTGATTCCCAGCAAACAGACGCTGATGGGATCTACCAGCTCCTCTGGGGGATGAGGAGTGGGTGGGAAAAGGCAGAGAGCAGGAAAAGAAGGAAAAACAAGAAAATTATGCTAAAGAGAAAAGAAATGAAAGATAATTATGCCGGAGATGGGTTGTCGTACATAAGAAAACACAACAAAGTTGTGTATCAGTTCTTATCTTGACATACCCTCCTCTGGTTTCACAGTTGTGTTCAGAAAAAAAAGTTTCTTTAAAGTTTTAGGATTATCAATAAATCTGTTCTGCCAAAAAAAAGGAAGTAGAAATGATAAATAAGTGGATTTCTGCTGGAGAAAAACAAACTTACAAAAGGAGTTCAACATGCTTGCTTTCCTTTTGAAGGGTGAGATGAGAAGATCAATACAGGCTTTGGGTCTGGGGATTTTCAGCTGCCAGCGGTGTTATGGGGCTGTTTTTGTGAAAGAGGCTCCCTGAACGTCAGCCTGGTCTCACATTAAAATGTGTAACCGTGGCGCTGCTTCCTGTGTTACGTTTAGATTGTCGCGTACTGAGAAAAATCAGTCGTGTTCTTGGTGTGTGACTTTTTTAAAAGAAAAAACTCATCTGTGAAGCGCAGGTTTAAACGCATGCAATCTCCAAACATCCACTTTTTCTTTAAAATCTAGCTTTGTGAATTTTCACATAAACTTGTAAAGAAATTGAACCTAAGAATTTAAGTAAGTTGACATAATGATTGATATAAATGGTTGGATGTTTAAATCATTCATAGCTATAGAGAAACTGAGTCCGACAACCCTAATTTTCAAAGGGGTCTTTTCGAAATAACTGAAGTATTTTTTATTTTAAATGAAACTAAATACTTTCATTTTTATGAGACATTCCCCTGTCCTTTTTTAAGCTTGCAAGAAGAATCTCAAGCAGCATAAATCACTGCTCACCAATCCAAACACATGTTAAACACACATTCTCCTGTTCCTGCTCTGCTCTGCAGATCCTGGACATGGTTCTCATCACCTGGACAATAACACAGCAGTAAAGAGAGGCAGGACCTATTTCAGACCTGCTGAGACACTAAATCAGTCACTACCAAATAAACATCAGGTTTTAGCGACAATTTTCACCCTGACAGCTGAATTTAGAGACTAACATATCTGATTTATTGCTGCGAAAGGGAAAAGAGAGATTAATATTCTGTCCTTTAATATTTGTATTCACTATTAGCCTTTAGTGTTCTAACTACGGACAAAAGGGTCCACCCCTTGGAATAGGTCAGTTTCAGTTTGCACATTTTCTAAAGCCAACCACTGCTTGTTTTTTTACTCTTTTGGAATAACTATGACCTGGTTGACTGAGAATCTTCACCAGCATATGTCCTGTTTATTGCTTATATTGGCCTGTGATCGACTGGAAAATTGTCATTGCTGTAACTTTGGCAGTCATTTATTTTAAGTTTTGCAAATTCATGCTCTATTTGTGTTTTTCTCGATCTATTCCGTAAGTTGGTCTCTGACCATGCATATAGTAGCGAATTTTATACAAATTGTATTTGTAAGATACATTCAGATTATCAAGTCAAGTAGATTTTTTTTTTACACCTTTAAACATGTTTTACTTTAAAATAATCTGGCAGGAAATATGTTGTAAAAAACTATTGTTTTTTTTAGCAGAATTTCCCTCAGTCATACCTTCAGATTGTCCCTAATAAATGAACAGATTTACTGAAAAGGAAAAACAAAAGAGGTTTGCAGTTTAAAGCTCTGAAAAACCAGAAGATTTCAGAGGCAGCGAGCAGAACTAAATTCATCAAATATTAAACCTGGTTCTGGGACTCGCTGTTGCACAAGATTACAGGAGAATTTTCCTGAGCTGACAAGATGCAGACTTTTTTAGTCATGATGGTCATTTTAGAACTGTATCTATTAATTAACATATGGATCCAATACAGTCATATTACAGTGTATCTTGTTTCTGAATTATTTATCTCTTTGTACTAATCTTTCCGTAAAGAAAATATTTTGGGAAATATTAAATGCAACATTTTGCATTTTAAAACTCTAAGGTTAAACTGAGATGTTCATATAGGGAGCAATATATGTTCATATAGGGAGAAAAAAAATAAAAATAAAAATTATATATATATATATATATATATATATATATATATATATATATATATATATATATATATATATATATATATATATATATATATATATAAATGTAATTTAGGTATAATCAACATATTTTTTGAATAATTACAATAAATCAAATAATTTGAGTCCAGCTTTTACTAGTTTAGTAACTGCGATTATGTTAGATATGCTAGTTAGCAAATCTCATTAACACAGAAAAGATAGGGACATATTAGTTGCTTCTTTAAGGAAAGAAGATGCAGCTTAAAATTTAAGTGCTTTTTGTCACACTTACAACAGTACCATCATAAAAGATGTAATATCAGGCACAGATAACCTGCATAGATAAAAAAAAAATCAAGATGCTATTTATTTGTAAAGGGAAAAATAAATGAGAACCAGCAGAAAGTAAAATTTGAACTTTGTTAAATCATGAATCAATTATTATAAGTTTTTTCTTTTTCTAATGTTGTGTTTGATATCTATGTCCACAGCCAGACTTTGCATCAAAAAGTAAATTAAATAGATTTGCCACATGATAAAAGTTAAAATATGTCAAAAAAAGGGCACATGCTGCTAAAAGAGCAAATGATAAACAAAGTCTCATCATCTATCATCCTCAAAAGGGTTATAAAGAACATCTACCTTCCCAAGAGTGGCCAACAAACCAAAATAATTCCAGGAGTGCATCAACGCCTGAACCAGGAAGTCCCACATGAAGCCTCATGTTCCCTAGTTAAGGACAGTGCTCATAAAAGCCTCTTACATCTCACTAATGCATAGCGATCTGAGATACTGAGGAAGATATTCCTCTGACTAACGAAAAAAAGATTTGCTTCAAAGATATAGCTCTAAACCATGTTTTAATGGGTGACTTTAGTACCTTAGTCCTTTTTCTTGAGGACCAGGAATAAATATCTGATGCCTTTAAGCTCTTTGGTGAGATCTTTTGAGTGTGTGAAAGTTACCTAAAAAAGTTTCATTTTTAAAAAATCATTCTCTGTTCCAGAGAGAATAGTTTGTGTTTTATAGCCATTGTCTGCATTATTCCAGCTGAAAGTGACTGCATGCATCTAGTTGGTTGATTTTGAAGTGCTACGTGGCAAGGTGGGGGGTTAAAATGGAATAACCGAATCATAAAGGATGTTTTAAGGGGCAAAATCGAGTGCATTAACCACAAGTGACCAAAACGTTTGCGCCACCCCATCAGCCTAGATCGCCTCCCTCCAACTCCTCCAGCTGAGGCATACTTAGCACCATTCATAATGCATGGTCATCACCCTCAGCTCACAGGCCTGTCACAGCTCGTTCCATTTGACAACTCGAGCCAACTCCACTTTTTCCCCTAAGAGGATGCAAGCGGCTGCATAATTTAGATGCCGCCCGCTGTTTTCAGAGCTCATCTCTTATCAAAAATGTATCAGACTGAGTTTCTGGGGGAGTTTTATCTAAAGGGGCCAATGGAAGGAGCTACAGTTGAGACAATAGATGTTGGGATGGGCCAAAACTTTTCGAACTTACTACACAACTTTAGTGAAACTTGATGATGTCACTCTTGTTCTCCCAATTTACCATCTTCTTTAAAATAAAAATGTGGAATGGTGACATCTTGGAAATATTTGAGAACTAATAATAGAAAATAATGCCTTTATTGGCTCATCTATTGGACTACCATTAAAAAAGTGATGAAATTTAAAAGCAAATTCAAATTGGAAGACTCTCCCAAGCCTCACCTTCATGCCCTCAGAGGCCCTCATCATGGGCCTCTGCTCCAGCCAATCACCATTGAGTACTCATTCCTCTTCAGCCAATCATCTTGTAAGGTTCTGCTTAAAGCTCTTCAGTCATAGACTCTCCTGGTCTTCAGCTGAGCTTTGACCCACCTCCACTTCACTCCTCTTATCATGCTCTGGAGCTCCTTCTGGCTTCCTTCTCCTCTGGCCTCCACCCCACCACCAGTGTCCGGATCCCTGGGGAAGACATGTATAATCCTATGTATAATACCAATGATCAGCTAAGCTCATACCAATTTGCTGCTTCCATGACTTTTGCCGGGGTCAGAGTGCCAAAGAACTGTCAGATTCATCAATATATCTCTCAATATATCTAATTGCAATTTTTCTTGTCTGTATGTGGGTGTGTGCGTGTGTGTGTGTGTGTGTGTGTGTGTGTGTGTAGGTGGATGTACCTATCTAGCCATTAGAGTGAGGACCATTTTCCAATTTCACCATCACAATAAGGACCAATTATTGTGAAGTGAGGAAATTTTGCTGGTCCTCACAAGGTATTTTGATAATGGTTAGGTTTAGGGCTAAGGTGTCAATTCGGTTAGGGTTAGGGTGAGGTGTGCATGGGTAATGGTTATGTTTAGGGTTTTTTTTTTTTAGGGTTAAGGCATAAACAGGGTTAGAAATTATCAAAAATCAATGGAAGTCAATGGGAGTACACACATGGTCCTCACTACATATAGCAGAACAAGTATGTGGGTGTGTGTGTGAGAGAGAGAAAGATAGTCTCTACATTTTGAATTTCATTAAACTCTTCATTGTCAGTTATATAAAGTTGAAAGCAGAGTTTTTAACAAATAATGTATAGTTAAATTGTTGCTCTATAGATCTTATAAATCTGTACATGTCTAAAATGATGTGTAACGTGGAAAGAATAAGAAATATATAAACGTATATACATAGAAAGGGTTGAAAATGAATGTAGGTTAGGTCTACCATTTCAGGCAGTCACATTCTATTTTCCCAGGTAGTTCAACACTTTTTTGAACGTTACCTTTAAAGAGATCATTCTGACCGTTAATATGAAATCTTAGTCTTTCGAGAGAAATATAATCTAACATCAGAGACTTCCACAAAGGTATTGAAGGAGGTTCATCTCCCACCCCTATAGCCATTAAATCTTTTCGGCCAAACATATGCAACATTTTTACAATGTACTTGTGTGATCTTAATGATTCAGGGATATATCTCAGTAAGTATGAGGTGGAAACAATTTTAATAAATCAGAGTACTGCTTGTGGGAAACAAAAGGGCCCATTGTAGGTGTCTCATGTGGTAGGTTTGGACATCTGCACCGGTGTATGTCAAGGTCTTACTGAAGAAATAAGAAGCAGGGAGGCATAGAAAACCTGCATTAAAATCTCTTTACTGAAGAAAAAAAGAAAAAGAACACAATGAACACAATGCTTATCTGACATGTGTTACAGCAAAAGAGAAAATCAGGAATTCACTGTTTATATTTTGCTTTCAGGCAGCGGGAACTGTCAAATACCGAGACGGGAAACAACATTTGGCCAGTCATCTTTCTTCATACGGAGCGCTTAAACCTGGAAATCTAATCTCA